AAGTTGGAATGTTACATTTCAGACACTTCGATAAGTCTTCACATATCTCGCGCCAAAACTTCTGAACTGGTGGACAGAACCAAAGAGCGTGGATATAATTGTCCGGTGAATTGGTTTGGCAGTGTGAGCAGTTGTTGGTAGACGTAAAGCCCATCTTGAACATCCGATGACCTGTATAGTGCACTCTATGTAATATTTTGTATTGAATTAATTGAAGACTGGGATTTCTAATTAGATGAAAGGTTTTTAAGCAAATCTGAGACCAGAAGTTTAGGTCTAAGTTAACTGATAAATCCGCTTCCCATTTTGCAATAGGAAGTGATATTGATTCATCTGTTTTAGAAAGCATTCTGTATATTTTGGATAGTAATTTGGGGGTTTTAAGAGTAAGAAATTGAACCACACTTGGTGGTGTTTGTAGTTCAACATGACCCGGTTTAAATTTCTTTTTTACTATGGATTTAATTTGTTGATATTCTAAAAATCTTTTCTTGTTGATCCCATATTGTGTAATTAGTCCGTCAAATGAAATAAATTCTGTTCCTTCTAGTATATGTTCTAAATATTTGATTCCTTTACCACTCCAATCTGAAAAGTTTATCATATTATTGTTTTGTAATATGTCAGGGTTGTTCCAGATAGGTGTACGTTTGCATGGGATTAATGAAGACGGCGTCAATTTTAGAAACTCCCACCATGCTGTCAGAGAAGAGCTGATGTTGATGCTTTTAAAGCATTCATGTCGTTGGATGTTTGAGCTGATAAATGGTAGGTCTGAGATCTCTAGATTATTGCAAAGTGCTTGTTCTACATCTAGCCAAGGTTCATCTAAGAGGGTATGTTTTAGCCATCCTGAGCTAAACTGAAGCCTGTTGGCTAAGAAGTACTGCTGAAAGTTAGGCAGTTCTAGTCCTCCTTTATCCTTGGTCTTTTGTAGTGTTTTTAAGCTTATACGTGGGGGTTTATTTTTCCAAAGGAATTTGGACATACATGAATCTAGAGATCTAAACCAAAGCTGTTCCTGGACAGCTCTTTTAAACTCGAAAAGCAGATCTCCTCTGTGGAACAGTTTCTACCAGCAGCGTCAGATATCTAAAGCAAAGCCATACCTCCCTTTGATGGACCTTGAAAAGCTCAACCACGCTCTTATCACTTCCAAATTAGACTACTGTAACTCCCTCTACTCGGGCCTCCCATATTCCTGTATTCACCAGCTCCAGTTAGTTCAAAGCGTAGCTGCACGTCTCTTAACCTGTACTAGAAATTATTCCCACGTCACACCAGTTTTAGCCAGCTTACATTGGCTCCCTGTTGATTATCATATCAATTTCAAAATTCTTTTGCTTACCTTTAAAATTTTCAATAATCTGGCTCCCAGGTATCTATGTGAGCTCCTTCAGTTGTATATTCCTAAAAAGGCACTTAGATCTTCCAATCTAATGCTCCTGATGCAACCGAGGTCTCATCTGAAATCCAGAGGTGATCGGGCCTTTGCTGTCGTAGCTCCCAGACTCTGGAACAACCTTCCTCCTTATATTCATTCCTCTGAGTTCGTCCAGTCTTTTAAAGTGCATCTTAAAACTTATTTTAGACAAACTAGTATGTTATTTCGTGGCGAGTGTTTTGTTTCAAACAATTGTCATATCATTGTTTCCTGCCCTCCTTTTAACTGTCTTATGCTATTGCTCTGACCAACTGTGAAGCACTTTGGTCAACTTTGTTGTATTATTATGTGCTATAGAAAGAAATTTTGATTTTAATTTTGAATTATGACTAAAACCAAGTTTTAGTTTAACATTTGCAGTCAAAATTAACACTGGTGTGAATGTGCCTGAACAGTTTGTAGATTCTAGCTCAGCAATTCCTCTCTAATAGCATAGTTTGTCTCTTCTCCAGCAAACTAACTACAACTGAATCTTCCCAGCTGACCTCAGCTTCAGAGAAACACTATTGGACTTTTGCAGGACTTTTGCAGTAGTTACAGGTAAGGATGCAAGCACAAACTGGTACAAACTATACACCACTATACTGAAATAATCAGGCTATTACTGAAATCAAATCAACAGACTTAACATATCAGTTACATACAAGTCCTTTATAAACTATGATATAAATCTGGAGGTGCTGATAGATGTTTGTATATATCTTCTAATCCAGAAGTCTGTACAATGTGTTTCATAGTTTCTAACAAGCCAATTAGGGTTAAACTTCACAGTTACTGCATGACTGAACTCTACGAAGGAGTATTAGGGCTACATTAACCCTTTCATGCATGAATTATGACAAACTCTAGATTTTTTTTTCTGAAGTATTTTTCTTCATCTTTAGGCATGAAAAAAAGATTTTTGAACTTAATTTTTTTTAAACTTGTACTTTTCAAATAGTTTTTTATATGTCCACTTAGGTGGACAACTGGCTGACCAGTGGGTGGTAGGATATGGAGTGACACATCAGTGTCTAATGTAGTGGTTTATGTGCAAGTATACCATCAACACTGAGACAAAAACAAGAAAACAGCCTGCCCATCATCTGTTCATAGGAATCGATCATATAGGATTTACCTGCCTTAACTTTCTGTGCACAATAGCCAATCAGATGTTAGAGTCTGTGTGACAGTTAAAGTCAAACATACTTGTGTAGAGAGAGAGTCTACACAAGTATGTTGCTGTTTGATCAGCAGTGTCTCTGCTGATCAAACAGCAGAGACACTTTAATGTCCCTGTAATCAGACTCTGCCCTGTTACTGATTACTCTGTTTGTAGGCTGTTTGTCACTGTCTATAATCAGTCAAATGAATTTTACTTTTATCTCAAATTATGTCCAGTTCTGCTTAAACTATAAGTAGGGATGGACTGATCCGATATAAAGAATCTGTATCACCGTGGTCAAGTGAGCCATCATTTGTGAGCTGCAGTCAAGCCAGCCGCCTCTTATCTGCCGCATAAATTTTCTTGCGCTTCTACACCGGCCTTTACGGCAGCACCTTTTCTCCTTATTTCACAAGGCTGTCCCAATGCAATGTGTGTGCACACGTGCATGTGTGAGTGCGCACGTATATGTGTGCGCGGGTCCGCGTTAACGCTGACAGCACTAGTATGAATATAAATCTATATTGTGTGGTTGAAAACAGTTATCAGTACAATTATAAAACACAATAGTAAAACAGGTATGATGTATAAATAAATTTAATTGAATTAATGTCACAAATATTTTTAATTAACACAAGAAATGTTTACTTATGAACAAGATGAAAACATGGAAAACCGGTTCAGCTCTCCTACTTACAGGTCTGTAGGTGATGTTTACTCAACATAAGACCAAGGTTAACGTCAGGGCTATACATGTAACCAGTTCTATATCACAGAGAGTAAATAAAGGAATGTTCTACATATTTAATGAGAACCTGACATGAATATGAGAATGTAGTTCACATTTTTACCAGCAGTGAGTATCAAATGATGATTTTAACTGTCAAGAGTTAAAGGAAATGCTGGTTTCATTGGAGCTTCAGTGAACGTTCATCATATTCTGAACTCAGAGTAGAGGGAGATTTGCTCTTCTGCTGAAACAGGAGAGTCTCACTGTGACATTTGGTCAGATTGTGATACCAACAGACTGAACTATCTGTTAAATTTAATCTTCCTTTCCAGGGGCGGTGCTCATTAGAGCCAGTTTTGTGGTGCTGCCTGATGGTTCTTGTGACTGCTGTTGGGGACATATTCAAAGTTTTTGCAATTTTCCAGACTAATTCACCTTTAGTTCTTAAAGTAATGATGGACTGTCTTTTCTCTTTACTTGGCTGATTGCTTCTTGCCCTGATATAAATCCTCCGGGACGATCGTGGCTCAAGAGTTGGGAGTTCGCCTTGTAATTGTAAGGTTGCCGGTTCGAGCCCTGGCTTGGACAGTCTCGGTCGTTGTGCCATTGGGCAAGACACTTCATCCGTTGCCTACTGGTGGTGGTCAGAGGGCCCGGTGGCGCCAGTGTCTGGCAGCCTCACCTCTGTCAGTGCTCCCCAGGGTGGCTGTGGCTATAATGTAGCTTGCCATCACCAGTGTGTGAATGGGTGGATGTGTAAAGTGCTTTGGAGTCCTTAGGCACTAGTAAAGTGCTATACAAATACACACCATGACACTGAGTGGAGCATTTGTTTCTCTTTATCCCTCTTTCTTATATTTTTTTTAGATTTTTATATAGGACTGACATTATACTGGGACTATCAAAATAAAACAGAAAACACGAAACAAATCACAAAGACGCAGACTTGACACAGTGAGGCAGACTGAAAGAATAGAACACATGGAACCCAGGGACGACAGAGAAGAATTAACATCAAACTAAACTCATGACCAGAACCAAACTGAAACATCGATTTATAATACTCGTCAAAACAGGATAGCTAAAGAATCAGACATAAATCATAATACAGAAAAACACCAAAACATAAGAAACAGAAAATGCTGGGTCAAAATGACCCAAAACTGTGACATATTTAATGAGAGTCAGTCATGAATATCAGAATGTAGTTTATTTTTTACCTGCAGAGGGACAAATCATCAACTTAAAGTCACACTCTTTCACAGTTAGAGATGGCAGTTTTAAAGACTAAAAACTCCCTGAAAATCCATCATATTTTAAACATGAAAACCATCCATCCATCCATCCATTCGCTTCCGCTTATCCTTTTCGGGGTCGCGGGGGGTGCTGGAGCCTATCCCAGCTGTCATAGGGCGAGAGGGGGGGTACACCCTGGACAGGTCACCAGTCTGTCGCAGGGCTAACACACAAGGACAGACAACCATTCATACTCACATTCACACCTAGTGGCAATTTGGATTTTCCAATTAACCTATCCCCTCAAGCTGCATGTCTTTGGACGGTGGGAGGAAGCCGGAGTACCCACGCAAACAGGGGGAGAACATGCAAACTCCACACAGAAAGACCCCGGCCTGATGTTGGAATTGAACTCAGGACCTTCTTGCTGTGCGGCAACAGTGCTAACCACCGTGCCACCGTGCTGCCCTAAACATGAAAACAAAAATTTATATTTTGACCATGTACAAGATATCTCTTTTCTCTGCTGATCAGACTGGAGAGTCTCAATGTAATATGCTGGCTAGTCAGACTCAGTTTTAGTTTAGAATAAAGTAGAAAATAATGATTCGGCATTGTACAGTGTTGGGAACTACACTTATAACTGTTTTCTAATGGATCATCTAAGCAACTATAGGCAAGCTAATGTCCAGCCAACATTTCCATATTCTAACAGCAAAAGTAAAATTCACAGTGAATCGTGGCTGCTACCCAAACATGTATCTAATAATAATGTGTAAATGTCTCTGAACAGTTTGTAAATTCATCTGTTGTCATCTAAGTGCCCCTGACATGAACTGAAGTGTCTCAGATGAATTTAGCTTCAGAGAAAAACACCACACAAATATTCACCATGAACTTTAAAAAACAGAAAACAACATGTGGATCCTGGAATAATCGTAGCTTCCATCTTTCAAGCACTGAAGAGGAAGACGATTGCAAGGAATCATTTAGAACAGTTTAAAACAACAACTGATTGAGTCCATGAATCTGAAAATGTGTTTCTGAGTGAAAGAGACAAACATACACAGACTGAACTATCTGTTCAACAGTCAGAGTGTTTCTCTAACAGGAGGGCACTCTTCACACTCAACTCAGCACAGACACACTGAAGAACCAGGAAACCAGACTGTAAATGCAGGATACAGAGGTTCAGTGAATGTGGTGTTGAAGGTGTGGAGGTGGATCAGAGTGTCAGAGGAGACTTTGTAGAAGGACAGAGTGCAAGCAGGACAGTCCACATACACTGCTACTCTGTTAGAGACAGAGGAGGAGGAGGAGCGGGGGTACAGATATGTTTCTCTGTTACCGTGAACGACAGAGTAACCCTTAACTTCAGAGCAGAACAGGCTCCAAGACTGATCATTCCTTCCAAACACACAGTCTTTACCGTCTCCTTTCCTTTTGATTCTTCTGTAACTCAGTGATATTTGAACCTCTAATTTCCACTCGACCTCCCAGTAACAGCGACCAGTAAGGCCATTTTTACATAACAGCTGAGGATACTGGTAATCAAATCTGTCTGGATGATCAGGATATGACTGAACCTCCTCCACACGTGTCACCTTCCTGTTGTTGCCAGACAGCTTGAGGTTTGTGTTTAGTGTGTCTGTGTCAATTGTGAGTTCACAGGAATCTGATGGAGAGAACAAACACAATCCAGCTGCAGTTATTGATCCATCATCTGAGATGTGAATGAGTGATGTGACAGTTTGAAGATGGTTGAATGTGCACTGCTTTCTTTTCATGAATCACATTAAAAACACACTTACACTTCCTCAGACCTGGTGTCAACCATTGTTCTCCAGCAGGCTCCACCCTGAAAGGAGGAGGGGGGTCAGACCAGCACAGTCTCTTTCAGCATGCACACATGGACATTACATCGCTCTCTTACACATACTGTTAGACACTGATAAAGGAATATTTGGGCACATACACTTCAATCCATTTCTGATGATTTCAACTGATCCTGGACAAACATACACATAGACAGAGAATTTATTTAATCCCACACTGGCGAAAGATTACTTGTTACAGCAGCATAAGGGACAGGGAGTCCCTTGTGCTTTTCAGAGTGAAAAGTGAATTAAAGAAATATTAGAAATGTAAAAATAGAAAAAGGTAAATAATGGGTCTATGGGTCTCGGGGACTGGGCAGGACAAAGCTGGCCCTGTAAAGGATAAGCGGAAGGGAGTGGATGGATGTGGAAATCACCAGAAGGTCCTTTCAATTTTGAAATCAGGTCTTCGTTTCTCCTACCATAACACCTGATATATACCAATCAGACAGGACATTAAGACTAATTGTGTTGGTCCCCCTTCCCAAAACAGCAAAAGTTGTGATGCACTGTGTATTCTGACAAATAAGAACCATATCTAACCATTAATGGTTCTATATACCAGATTTTAGGTTTTTTGCAGTTCAAGCTACAGTGGCTTGTCCGTTGAATGGGACCACAGGTTAGAACCTTTGCTCCACATGTGCATCAGTGAACCTTGGTCGCTCATTGTCCCCTTGTGGGACAATTAAAGGATTATTCTATTCTATTCTATTCTATTCTATGACCCTGTCCCTGGTCCACCACTGTTCCCTGGACCACTTTTGATAAATACTGACCATCAGAGATGGGCAGTAACGCGTTACTGTAATCCGAATACTTTTTTCAAGTAACGAGTAAAGTAAGGGATTACTATTGCAAAAATGGTAATTAGATAACTGTAACTTTCCCGTGAGCACGCTGCGTTACTGCGTTACTAAAACCGTGAATTTTTTGCGAGAGTGTCTCATGACAATGACGTAAGCGAGTGTGATGTTCGTGGCAACAGCTGTGTTGCAGATCAACAATGGATAATATATCAAGTGCGGGAGAGAGTATGAGAGTATGAGCGTGCAGTGTTTAAAGAGTGAGTTTGATTCCGTAAAAAGTGACAAAAGCATTAGCGTCCGCTGTTCACTGTGGGAGTGGGAAGAAAACGTCTTTTTACAGCGGAAACCCCCCCCCCAAACTTCCGAGCAAGCACCGTGTATGCTACCAGGGAATGGTAGATTCACAGACAAACTCACGGATTCTTCCACTGACCACTGCGGCACACCTGCACCAGGGCAAACATCCGCTTGCTATACAGGTGAAAATAGAACAACAGGAACGCTGAGTCTTTGATTTGATTTATTTTCTGCTGTGTTTCAGTTGCATTTATTTGAAAGACTGAGTGTAAACACAAAAAAATATTTTGTGTAGTCAATAAGCACTTAACAGACAGAAGACAATGCTAGGGTGAACGTGGCATGTTGTATAGAGGACTTTGAGTACTTAAAATTCCAATTTTCTTCAGTTCCGGAGTTTATTTAATTAATTTTTGTGTTGCTTTAAATACCATTATTCTATGTTGTGCACTAATTTAGGAAAACACTGACTCTTGTTTATTAAAAGTGCTATGAATAAAAACTTTTTTTTTAAATTTTGAGAGCTTGCATGCTTTAAAATGTACAGTGAACATTTTCCTGTGGTTGCTAGGTACTTCCACAGTTTGGATTATAAAGATTTACTAATAATTTATTGTTGATCAAGCCAGGCTGAAAGTTTTTCCTGTTTACAGTCTTTCTGTTAAGCTAGGATAAACATGCCCTAAAAAATGAGAAAATAAGTAAACATACAGAGATCTATTCAAATGTTGAATAAATGGTGACCATCTACCTAAATATCTCTTGTTATTGTTCAATTAGACTCGTGTTTATGTTGTAAAATAAGGAAAGATTTTTCTCAATGTGTTATTGCTCATGTCACATTTCCATGAAACAAAGAAGGACAGAAAATGTTTCCAGCTCTTTCTCCTCTATCAGGTATTCTTTCCATACCTGAGAGTGTCAGGTCTCAAGTGTAGATCCTTAAGACACTTTATTCCAGAGTCTCCAGGATGATTGTAGCTCAGGTCCAGCTCTCTCAGATTTGAGGGGTTGGAGCTCAGGGCTAAAGCTATAGAAGCACAGCCTTCCTCTGTGATCAGACAGCCTGAAAGACTGCAAACACACAAGATAACAATCCATCGGTGAACACTTTATTTTAAAAGTTTGTTTTTTTAATTATATCCATATTCATGTCCACCCATTAAATCAATGTATCTTTATTTATAGTGACCACATGCGACAGACAACAACAGCTGTCTCAAGTTATTAAATTGTGTAAGGAGTTAGTCCAGCATGACTAAAATGTGGTTCAGAGTCACCTGATCCAGTCCTAACTATAAGCTATAAGTATAAAGGATGTCTTTTTTTCTGAATCCAAATTTGGAGCTGGTTCCATAGAAGAGAGACTGCGACACTAGTTACACAAACTCTATAAGCCATAAGTCTGCAGTCTTAGTGTCAAGTGCTCCATTTGAATGATACAATGTGGTCATTAAGCTACAATGTTGATTGATTATTCAAGACTACATGCAGAGGGTGAAATAATTATTGAACACATAATGTATTTTCTTAGTAAATATATTTCTAAAGGTGCTATTGGCATGAAATTCTCACCAGATATGCGTAACAACCCATCCAATCCACACGTGCAAAGAAATCAAAACATAGATGTCCTTAAATTAAGTTTTATGTAATAATTAGAAGTGAAACAGGGAAAATGTTTCTAGTGTTGAACACACTTACTATAATTTATTTGATCTTCTGTCTAAAAGCCTTTGTTGGTGGCGACATTTTCGCCAGAAATTAATCACAGGTGTGATTTTGGCCCATTCTTCATCAAAAATAGGCTTCAAATCCTGAAGGCTCCATTCCACAAACTCTAAGCTTTGGTTCTTGCCATAAGTTTGCAGTTGGATTCGGGGTAGGTTGTTGGCTGGGACATTATAGCAACTTTACTTTCTTTGAAACCAATTGAAAGTTTCCTTGGCTGTTTGGGATCATTGTCTTGCTGAAACATCCACCCTCATTTCATCTTCATCATTCTGACAGACGGCAGCTGATTTTTTATCAAGAATGTCTTGTTGCATTTTTCCAAACCTCCTTCCTTCGATTATATTAAGGGTGCAAGTGCCCTGTGCTGAAAAATAGTGATACACTATGATGTTCCCATATCCGAAGGTCACTGTTGGTGTTTTTGGTGTGATGTGTAGTTCCCTTTGATCTCCAAACATGGTGTAGATTATGGCATCCAAACATGGCATTTTAATTTTGATCCAATCTGAACAGACTATATTCTTGTAGTATTTCAAAGGCTTATCTAAATATTTTTCATCAAACTTTGAATCATGCTGTTTCTTCAGCAATGGAGTCTTGAGTGGTCAGTGTGCATACAGGCCATGGTCGTTGAGTGCATTACTCATAGTTTTCTTTGAAACAATTATACCTGCCGTTTCCAGGTCTTTCTGTAGCTCTTCAGAAGTGGTTGTTGGATCTTGGATAACTCTTCTGATAATTCCTTTCACTCTTCTGTCTGAAATTTTGTGGTGAGCACCTAGTCATTGTCAGTTTATGTTGAAATGATGCTCTTTTTACTTCTGGATTAAAGCTCCAACACTGCTCACTGGAACCTTCAGTAGTTTAGAAATTCTTCTGTAGCCTATACCATCTGTATGCTTTGTAGCAATAACGTTGTGAAGGTCTTGAGAGAGATCATCAGTGATACACAAAATTAGATATTTCTTGTGTGATGCCTTGGTAATGAGATACATTTTTATAAGCCATCATTTGGGACTAAGACAAGTCATGTTAATTTGCACTGAGTGGCAAAATTGCTTTCTAATTACCATGATGCTCCAAGTCTCTTTACACCTCCATTGCTTTGTGTGTTCAATACTTTTTCCCTATGCTATTTCTGATTTTCACACATAATTCATGGCCCTTTATGGATGATTTCATTGAATGTGGATTGGATGAGTTGTTACTGACATCTGGTCATAATTTCATGTCAACGGCAACAAATAGAAATGTATTTACTTAGAACATTGGTGATGTGTTGGATGCCTTTTTTTTTGCTGTGGTAAATGAGAAGAGGTTGTTTCTCTGGATATAAAAGGAAGCTGAGGATAAAAAGCCAATATGGAAGAAATATGATCTCTCTGCAATTATAGGGAACAAATCAGCGTTAGCATTAGAGTTGTAACAATATGGGTTCCGCTCAGTATTTAACTCAGTTTAATCCTCCTGTGTTACCCATCTGTGAGGTTTCAGTACTATTAAGAAGACAATCTACCTGTGTGAAAGTAAAGTTTAGGTAGCTCCTGTAAATTGTGGTGACACATGGCATTGAAGAAAAGTCAAATCATTGTATTTATTTTTATTGTGATAGGCTGATTTTACTTAATTTAATTGCTGTGACCTTATTTTCCCAAAACTCTCATTTTGCGAAACCAACCGTTAAAAATATATATTATAAAATTCCAGACTCTTCATTGCAAAGAGTGAAAAAGAGTAAAAATAGAAAGACATCCGGACATGTAATTCTCTGGATTTAAAATAGCCTAGCAACTGGTGTATGTTTTTTATACTTTTTCAACATGTTCAAAATAAAGATTCAATCAATCAATCAAAAAAACCAGTATCATGCATATCAGTAATTTTTATCAGTTCAAAAATAAAAGAATTTGAATATAAAAAAAAACTTTAAGACAGTAACTCAGAGTCTAACAATCCAACCAAATTTGATTCAAAAGTGACTTGAGAATTCTATACAGGTTTTAGTGGCTTATTTTCAGTGGTAATCAGTGGAAAAGTCTGAAATCTAACCTGATAGTTTCCAGTTTACAGTGTGCACTCTTGAAGCCAACAGACAAAAGCTTCACTCCTGAATCCCTCAGGTTGTTGTTACTCAGGTCGAGCTCTCTCAGACTAAAGGATGAGGATCTGAGAAGTGAGGACAGAGCTTCACAGCTTCTCTGTGAGAGGTTACAGCCACTCAGTCTGAAAAACAATGATATTTGTGATCAAATGAAATCACTTAATGTTGAACCTAGAAAACAAAAACAAAGTATGCACTACAGTTCATGGTTAACTAAAATCAATTGGTCGGAAATTTGTCAGATATAAAACGCTTCAAATTTGCCCAATGAAACACAGCTATACCTATGTAGCTGTATTTCACTACATGTTGTACTCTGTATAACTGTGTATGTGACAAATAAAGGTTGTTTGTTTGTTTATTTTGTGGTATATAATTAAATCTAAACCAGTGAGAAGCTGGTAGAGTTAGTCATATTTGTGTAGTACTCACTTTAAGTAGAAAAACATTTTGAACAGACAGAAATAGGCCCATATTTACTTACAGAGCTTTGCTGGAAGCTTTGACCACTGGCTGCAACCTCAGAAGAGCCTCCTCTGAAGCAGAGTATTTCTTCAGGTCAAACACATCCAGATCTTTTTCTGATGACAATACAATGAAGACCAGAGCTGACCAGTGAGCAAGAGACAGTTTTTCTGCAGAGAGATGTCCTGATCTCAGGGACTTTTGGATCTCCTCTTCAAGGGAATGATCATTCAGTTCATTGAGACAGTGGAAAAGGTTAATGTTATTCTCTGCAGACAGATTCTCACTGATCATCTTCTTGATGTACTGAACTGTTTCCTTATTGATCTGTGAGCTTCCTCCTCTCTGTGTAAGCAAGCCTTGTAGGAGAGTCTGATTGGTCTCAAGTAAAAGACCCAGGAAGAAACGAAGGAACAAGTCCAAGTGTCCATTTGGACTCTGTAAGGCTTTGTCCACAGCAGTCTCGTAGAAATGTTTATCTGTTTCAGATTGATGGGATGTTTTTTGTTGCTCTTCCAGCAGATTGACTCCAGAGTTGATGAAGGTCAGATGGACATGAAGAGCAGCCAGAAACTCTTGAACACTTAGATGAACAAAGCAGAACACCTTCTCCTGGTACAGTCTTCTCTCCTCTCTAAAGATCTGTGTGAACACTCCTGAGTACACTGAGGCTGCTGTGATATCGATGCCACATTCTGTCAGGTCTGATTCATAGAAGATTAGGTTTCCTTTCTGCAGCTGATCAAAAGCCAGTTTCCCCAGAGACTCAATCATCTTCCTGCTCTCTGGGCTCCAGTGTGGATCTGTCTCAGATCCTCCATCATACTTGACCTTCTTCACTTTGGCCTGAACCACCAGGAAGTGGATGTACATCTCAGTCAGGTTCTTGGGCAGGGGTCCTTTCTCTTTGGTTTTCAGCACATCTTCCAGAACTGTAGCAGTGATCCAGCAAAAGACTGGGATGTGGCACATGATGTAGAGGCTTCGCGATGACTTGATGTGGGAGAATATCTTGCTGGCCTGCTGTTCATCTCTTCCTGATCTTCCAGATCTCTTCCTGAAGTATTCCTCTTTCTGTGAGTCATTGAACCCCCTGATCTCTGTCACCATGTCAAAACAACAGTGAGGGATCTGATGGGCTGCTGCAGGTCGTGTGGTTATCCAGAGGCGAGCAGAGGGAAGAAGATTCCCCCTGATGAGGTTTATCAATAGCACGTCCACTGAGTTGGATAGTGTAGGGTCAGTTAGGATTTCAGATTTGTGGAAGTCCAGAGGAAGTCGACACTCATCCAGACCATCAAGGATAAAAATAACCCGGACGTCTTCAAAGCTGCAGATTCCTGCTTCTTTGGTTTCAGCAAAGAAATGATGAACAAGTTCCACCAAGCTGAACTTTTTCTCTTTCAGTACATTCAGCTCTCTGAAAGTGAATGGAAATATGAACTGGATGTCCTGGTTGGCTTTGTCTTCAGCCCAGTCCAGAGTGAACTTCTGTGTTAAGACTGTTTTCCCAATGCCAGCCACTCCTTTTGTCAGTACTCTTCTGATTGGTTCATGTCTTCCAGGTGAGGCTTTAAAGATGTCTTCTTGTTTGATTCTTGTTTCTGGTCTGTCTGGTTTCCTGGATGCTATTTCAATCTGTCTGACCTCATGTTCATCATTTACCTCTGCAGTCCCTCCCTCTGTGATGTAGAGCTCTGTGTAGATCTGATTCAGATTGATTGGGTTTCCTGCTTTAGCAACCCCCTCAAACACACACTTGAACTTCTCCTTCAGCGAAGATTTGAGTTCGTGTTGAAGATCTGGAGCAAATATTCCTGAAAACACACAATAAATACATTTAATGATGGAATTATTATTCAGTAAATACCCCTACATCTTTTGTCCCCCCAAAATAGGTTTTTGAATCTATGTTGGTGCATCTTTTCATATATCATTCAATTTCCCATTTATGCAGCAGCTTAAATCTTTAAAGACATCCTCTTACTGCTCTCCAGAAATTCAGCCAGTTCCTTCTGCTTCAGTTTCCTCAGGAAGTGCAGCGTTATTTTCACAAATGCTTGTCTGCTGTTCCTGGTCCCCTCTTTATCTTCATCCTCTAAGACCTCATCCTCTTTCTGGCTCCCTAAGCATTCTGGGTAACCTGAACTTAGAGTCTTCTGGATCTTCTTCAGCTCATTCTTCACAAAAGTCATGATGTTGTCCTCCAGCAGCTGGAACAGAAGACGATATGAATAATCCATCCAAACTGAAATCATTGAACAAAACCTCAGATCCATCATGGATACATTAACAATTCAGTGGTCTATAAAGAACAGTATGGAGATCACAGTGAACAGAACAGATGTAAGAGCAGTTGTTCTACATGTACAGACCATAAATACAGAGTCCAAATGTGCTTGATGCTGCTTGGCAGGTTGACCACTGGGAACCTTTGAACTCTCATGGTCCACTCTATGAAGAATCATGAAGAAGTAGTTCACATTATGACTTTCCACACAGAGATAAATACAAGCTAAAGGACACAACAGATGTTTTGATGTTTCTCTTGGTGTTTCGTAAAATGGAGATCCTTGTCTCTGACATTTGAGAAGATCAGATCAGATGAGAAATATGAGGAGTTTTATTTTTGGATTTTGTTTATTTTTATTTTTACATTACATTTTTAAATTTTAAAGCCAAAACAATACCCCACTCTTTTGTGAAGTCCATCTCACGAGATAAAGAACTTTGTGAACATTATTCCCAGATCTTATCATCCATCTTCATCATTGTCCTTTTTGACAGGTGTTTGTGGATGAGGTCAACTCAGAGTCAAAAATAATGGCTGTTATGCTTGTCTTAAAGGAAGAAATAGTTAATCTATTTGACATTTTAGCACTTAAAATGGGTTACCCTTCCAAAGTGAACCAAATTTCCACTAATTAGAAATTGATTTAACTTCAAACAATTTGCAACATGAAAAAGCGCCATAACTCATAACAATCACCCTGTGAACCTGTCATAAAATAAAAACTATTTAAAAAATACAATTTCAAAACTACCCATTAGTACCAATTATTATCTTGAAGAATCAAATCAGCGCATCAACAAGTGTTCATATATTAGTAGCATAACATATGATATAAATGTACATAAAAACATGTTTATAAAGGTCAACAGAAATCAAGTACACAGGTAAAAACACCTACATAATAATTCCCGCTCCAGCATCATGTTCTTCCAGTGAACGTAACTCACAAAAAAAACAAAAAAACAAACAAAACAACAGACCAGAACTGCTCCATTTTCTCTTTTTGAATGCATTTCTAATGTGTGGACTTCAAACTACAGGGTGGGCCATTGATATGGATACACCGTAATAACATGGGAATGGTTGGTGATATTAAAGTCCTGTTTGTGGCACATTAGTATATGTGAGGGGGCAAACTCCTCAAGATGGGTGGTGACCATGGTCATAGCTGGACTGGCCATCGGGCGTACCGGGCATCTGCCCGGTGGGCCGCTGGCGATATTTTGTTTTTTTTGGGCCGATGGATTTTTTTTTTTTTTTTTTTTTTTTAGGAAGGGTATATATAATGAAAGGTGTTGGATTGGCCAATTGGTCATGATCGACTCTGGGCTGGACCAATTACAGCCGAGGAGGCCGGATGCACCCTCCCCCTTGTTTAGCAATCACGTGATTTTTGCGCATTGCATGCCGGGAACTCGTGGCAAAACAATCCAAGTACCGCATCAAATGCAAGCATTTGCAGCACCGCAAAACGTTCATTCTCCGGTTCCAACACCTTCTTGTTTTTTCTTTGCCGCACAAAAAAGGAATGTACAAAACAAAAGGAGAACAATGCCGGTCCGTACAAAGACAGACTCGACGAAAAGACAAAGAAAAATACGAGGAAAAAATCAAAGGAGTGAAAGGGTCAGACCCTTACGAGCACACAGAGTGGACAAAAGACGTTAGCGTGCTGCCCAACTTTCACCACGCTCATATTTATAATTATACGGTTCTTGGAGTGAGTGCATACACTCGTGAAGTTTAGTAACTTCAGGTCACTGCAACAAGCCCAGGTACAGTTTACCGACGGATGTGTGCAGGACCTTGAAATGCACCGTGTAGAACGAAAGACCATCGTACGAACAAAGGTAAGTTTACCAGTCTCACAAATCGTCATCATAAATACACATTCGTTAACCGTTTATTAATATAACCTTTGAGCTCAACGGTAATTAATTAGTAGTGGAAATAATTTCTGGTAGCATTACAGAAATGTAGCAGTGACAATAATATTGTATGTTGTAATCGCAATGGACAATTAGTGATACAAAACAACTGTTTTACCCTGTGAATAAAAGTATATGTTTTTGTCAATGTACCATGGTAATAACAGAAGCGAAACGCAATATTGTGTCAGGACAATTCACTATTTATGCACAATAAATAAAGGAGCATAGCGCGACAATTTCTGCTCAGCGCCAGACTTGCTTGTAACCTATATCACCAATTATGTTAAGAAAAATGACGTATTAACTACAAAACTCTGACCTTTGTGGGAATGCTTGGAGCAGACTAACATGTGAGCTGGAGTGTTCTGAGACGTTATATTTGGTATATCCAGACCATCCGTCGGCTCTTACTTCGGAAACATGGCTTAAAAATTTCTCTTCAACGACGTAATCCGATAAAAAAAAAAAAAACGATCTCTTTACCCGTCGGCTTCCCGTGGCTGTCATGCGACCAGCTATTGCAGTTAATAATACAACGGCTTCTTGACATTTTTTGGGTTTCTTTTTATCCCACCAGAATCCTTTGCGGTTTTATCCCTGAATGACGTCACATTTTCAATCTTTATCCTGGTGGGCCGGTCTCTAGTCAAAATGCCCGGGCCGATTTTTTGTCCCAGTCCAGCCCTGACCATGGTGACCATTTAGAAGTCGGCCATCTTTGATACAACTTTTGTTTTTTCAATAGGAAGAGGGCCATGTGACACATCAAACTTATTGGTAATGTCACAAGAAAAACAATGGTGTGCTTGGTTTCAATGTAACTTTATTCTTTCATGAGTTATTTACAAGTTTCTCTTCGTTCACAGCCATTGACATGTCGAAGAGGTTAACACGTGAGGAGCGGATCGAAATTGTGTTGATATCTGGTGAATGCAGTAACCGGGTCATTGCAGCAGATTTCAATGCAAGACACCCTACCAGACCACCCATCTCCCATGCTACAGTTAGCAAACTGCTTGCTAAGTTTTGTGAAACTGGTTCAGTGTTGGATTTGCCAAAATGTGGACGCAGTAAAACTGTCACTAATGAAGAAACATCAGTGGCTGTCCTAGCTTCATTCAGCAAGAGCCCACAGCGTAGCACTCGCCGCATGTCACTGGAGAGTGGCATTAGTCAAACATCCCTTCGATGGATATTAGCTACTCACAAATGGCACCCTTACAAACTCCAGCTACTGCAGCATCTCAACGAGGATGACCCAGATCGCCGCACAGAATTTGCAGAATGGGCAAAACAAAAATTGGAACAGAACCTTCAGTTCACACAGAAGATTTTGTTCAGTGATGAGGCAAACTTTTATGTGAATGGTGAAGTTAACAAACAAAACCACCGCTATTGGTCTGACACTACCCCACATTGGATGGATTACTCCAAGACTGTTGGAGGGAAAATAAAAGTGTGTGGGAAAAGAGCTGAGCTGTGACATTAAACATGTTGGAAATTTTCTTCAGAAAAAACAGTTCAACCTAAGTCAGTAGGAACATTTAGTGACACATTACCTTTCTGCAGCAGGAGTACTTTCTTTAAAATAGGGATTAAAATCCTTTGACATGTCACTTTTTAAGGACACACAGCTGTGTTCGGGTTTCTGATACATCCTGACAGAGAAAAAAAACCAAAGCAGATTTTAGGGTTAGGTTTTAAATTCTGCAAATAGTTGTGAAACTAAAATTGTTTTGTATAAACTAGAAGAAAACAAATTACAAACACGATGAATATGATGGAGCAAACTACAGCAGATATAATAAATCATCCAAAATTCAAATTATTGTATTCAACAATTTGTCCTCCGAAATATTTTTCAGCCCCATTTTAATACTGAGACATATTTACTCTGTGTCAGATAGATGTCTTTGTTTCAAATCAATATTAAAATCTTTTGAGTGGTCACTCTTTAAGGGCACATAGCTGAGCTTGAAAAGAAAAGCTTCTGGACTTATTTAAGTTGCTTGAAGACATTTCACCTCTCATCTGAGAAGCTTCTTCAGTTCTAGGGTCAAATGGTGGAGAGTCCTAGATTTAAGCCCTAGCGGAGTGTCCCCTGAGGAAGTCATGAACCCCCTGTTGATCCTCTACCTAATCACACGAGCCAAGGTGTGAAAACGGGTGTAGGTTACGATCGGTGAAAGTTTTGGGTGAACCTGCTGTGAAACCTAGCCCCACCGTGTGAGCTCAGATGATTTCCTGAGGGGCAATTCTTTTTTTCATTTAGCAAGTAGGTTTGGATAAATATTTTTCTCCATGAATAAATAAAATAACTATTTAAAAACAGCATTTTATATTTACTCGGGTTATCTTTGTCTGAAAATAATATTTGTTTGGTGATCTGAAAAATTTACATGTGACAAATACAAAAAAAAAAAAAGAATCAAGAAGGAGACAAGTATTTTGACAAAGCATATATAAATAGATTACCTCTCTACAGCAGAACATCTTCCTTCTTTAAAATCAGTAATAAAACCCTTGGAGTTGTCGCTCTTTAATGACACACAGCTTGGATCAGATTCAGGTCCAGGTTGGTTCCTGTGAATAATGATGGAGCAGTGATGTGAATGCTGAGCTGTGATATGGAGAAGAGTCATGGACAGTTAGACATGGTAATCTCACCTCTGAGCTTTGGTCTGGCTCTCATGTTCCCCACACAGAGTGGTTTTAGATGGAGGGACTCCCTCCTCTCTGTCCTCACACTGATCCATGCTGCTGACTTCACATCCACATCAGCTCACACACACTTTCTACCTTCATCTGCAGAGGAAACACAAATTATTCATGTGCACATCAACTGAAATCCTCATTTCCATCATGTGTGCTGTACAAATATCAGCTGCTTCTTTTCTGCTTCATTTCACTGTCAGCTGAATGCAGTCAGACAGCAGTGTGAGAAAAAGGAAGCTGCCATCAGCTGCTCTACTTCTACTATCACTCCACTACATGGAGACATGAAGCACACACAATGCATTCACTGACACATCCTTATTCACTGTGACTGGAAGCTTCATTGTATTAATATTCAGTCAGTTCAATACGTCTGAACAACATTTTAAAACATTCCAGCTGATCCATAACTCAAAGAGGATAAGCAGAGTTAAAAACTTCACTTTAATTATTCTTGCGTACTGTACTGATTTGCACTCACTTATTTTCTTTTAATAAGGCCCCTCTATCTAGTAGTGTATCTAGTAGTAATTGCTAGTATTAAAGTAGACAACCAAACATGGATGTTACTAACTATTATCTACATTATTAATTAATTATCAGTTTATGTTTTAATTTGTGATTTTTTTTATATAAAATTTCGAAGTTTGAAGCTGAATGACGTGTCCAACTGTTCACAGACTATGGATTAATCATCTGATCCCTGCTCTATAATCATTCCTCCATATTCCTCTCCAATGTATGTCAGCATGGATAACATGCAGACGTCACATAAACACTGACATCTATGATCATGTTATCTAAACACTGCACATTAGCAAAATTTTCATCTATAGTTAAACAAGAATGAACATGGATTAAGTGTTTGATGAGTAAAATACATAAGTTAATAACTTGAATAAACTCGCACATTATAACCAACCATTTTATTTTAGGACTGAATCAGCAGCTCACTGTTGTGTTTGACTTTAATGGTGAGACTACATTTTTCTTCTGGAAAACAAAAGCCAACAAATTCAATATCTGGATTAAACATATGAATCTGATGTGACCGAGTTCTGACTGATGGTTTCTGACTCTCCTCCTGCTAAAGGCTCATGAATCCCACAGTACACAGCTTTCCTGCATACACATGAACAGGACTAAGCTTTGCACTAATCTGACTTTTGGACATTTCAGAGTTTTTTTTGCTGCTCAGAAACAAATACAGAAAAATTATGAACAATAATCTGTTCATTCACTCACACTCATGATTTTTAAAAAGGTAAATATTCACAGCAAAACAGTGCAGTTGAAGAAAAAGAAAAACCTCCCTTTAATGAAGACAAATCAAATAAAGAGTTCCACTAAAAACCTTTATTTAAAGACAGTTTTTTACTGTTTGCGTACAAACTGATCTATGTGTCTGTTCAAATGGTTTCTTGTCATTTAATGGTGTATGTGCATAGGACACTCCTTCATTGCCTCACTTGTAAACATGCTGTCTGACTGGTCAGACTGGGGCGTCAGTTCACATACTGACGTGTGAAGACATGAAACCTTCTAACTCTGGCATAAAATGGCTCAAAGTTTGTGACAAAGTGAAAACACAGTCTGTAGATGATGGACTGTTTTAATGAAGCTACTAAATGAAGAATAAATGTGTTTATTCCATCAAAACAGTATGTTAGCAGAGTCTGTATGAGTCTATGAATGAGGCTAAACAAACTAAAAAAAAGTGGGAGCTTTTTTTTCAGAGCTGTGACTTTATTTACACACATACTGAGAATCCTTTCAGAGAGCTAAAAAAACAACAACTAAAGGTTGAATTAACCTTTGACCTCGGGGAGGAAGTGCACTGTAAAAGTAGTAACTAGCAGTTGTTGATCTCAGTAAAGTTTTCAAATTAATTAGACTCAAAAATATAGATGTGATAAATGTTGATCTCTGATCTGAAACAACACCAGAGAAGATCAGGTTTGCAGCATAAGTTGCCATGGCAACATAGCCTGGTGAGAGGTAATCTGTCTTTGCAGTACAGAAATCCCAGGGTTAACAACAAAATTACCCGAATGAGATCAAACCTGATGCGTAGTACTGGCCTCGGTCAGAAGACGTGTTCCGGAAGGACTCTCGACAAGTTGTGAGTAACAGGAGGACCAGGATGGACTGTTTCTGTGTCTGCAGCGTCTCTCTGCAAAAAATGAGCCAACAGATAAACTACAGCTGATTATTTCTGCCACATTATTTCTCCTCACAGCTCCAGCATTACAATTTTCAACTATATATCTTATACAGCTCACACACACACACACACGTTGTGCATAATTTCAGTCATACATGCATAGATACACACTCAGAAAAGTAAAATTTAGCCATGGTTACATACATATGATCTGTCTTAGATTGCTGGTGACAAACAGCAGAGACTTTTTTTTTTTATGCACAAATGTGGCTCAATGAACCCGCCAACCAGTAAAACAGCTGACTGTGAGCACACAATATTCTCAACACATTTGCATTTGTTTTGCAGTATTCAAGTAGGGTCATGCTTTAAAGAGAATGTAAAACACTATATATACAGAATAATGAACATTATGGAGCCCTGTTCTAAAAATATTCAGATTTTTCCATGTTGATGAATTAAAGAAATCCCTGTTAAAAAAAACTTCCATCTATGGACTCAATGCACACACAGCGCTGCCAGAAAGAGCAGAGGGAACAGGGACTCACTCCATCCAGCTCACTCCCTGCTCAGACGCTAGAACTGCACATACAATGTAAGACAGAAAGCGGACAGCATCATCACTCACAGAACAATGTTTTTCAATAGCATCTTCCCCGCCACAGTCAGACTGACGGCAAACAAAAGCCAGTGAACAATGTGCAATAATAACCCCACACTACCCCACTTTACTTGCCAGAAGTCCTAACTGTGTAATATTTACCATATAATTGGACTCTTATGTATATACTGCCGCCCCACTTGTAAAGGGGGTAGAATTTATGATTTATGATTTAGAATTCATATTTGTGTTATACTGTCTTGTTTATTTCTGTCTATTTTCCTGCCTTACTTTGACTGCTCTGCACAAGAATTACAACGTGCCTTGACTGCTGGTTTATGCACACATAGCAAATAAAGAACCTTCAACCTTAAATTTAAAGTTTTTACAACTTTACAATTTATCTTGTGGTAGGACAGAATGTGACATCACCAAGTAAGCTGCTTGATTGCTCTTAACATACTTCCATTGGTTTATGTTAGCTAACTATTCACAGAACTATCTGGGACCTTAGGCTTTATAGTGGCAGTGTGGAGGAGAGCTTGTTTGAGTCTGGTGCACCTGTGGTTCACCAGACCGACAAACTGGAATCAGACGCAGATTTTTATTGTTTGTTTTGACAGATTGATGGTAACAGTGCTCATCTTGAAGATGGTCTTTGAGGAGGCAATTAACTAGGATGTCAATGCTTGGATTTCAAAGACAAAATTCAGTGGACGAGTAAGCTTAAAGCACTGAGACACAATCTTTATCATCAACTGTATGAATGAGGAAATGAGACAGCTCCTTCAAGTTCAGCAGGAGGGACAGAGTCAAAGAAACTCCTACTGTGATGAAATAAAATTTGTGACTGATATGGATTTATCTTTAAATCGTTTGGGTAATAAAAGGAAAGATACAAGTTTACTATAAATGTTGTTGGGTATAATTTAATCTAGCCTCTAAGTGTGTGTATAAATAGTCAACATTACTTTCTGTTAGAGGAGAGCCAACTGTTTGTGTCGTAGTATTTTTTTAAACAGAAACTACATGTTGAATATGTTTGGAGGATAAATCTATGTTAAATAATAATTTACGTTGTTATCTCCAAAAACTTTTCCTTGTTTTGTGCCAAAAAGTAATTTTATTTAAATTATTAGAAGTAGCTTTTTGGTCTGTAATATGTGAAATGTATCCCTCATGAATGATATCATACCTGAGCAACAAACAGCATTCCTGTCCTAAGGTAGAAGTTTCAGTATCAGTTTTGGGAAATGTGACTTTTCTATATATTACATTTATCCAGGTAAAAAGTCTCAGTGACATTAAAAATATATATTTTAAAGAGTGACCAGACCAAGAGGGCAGCAGAATTTACAACATATATAACAACAGTTTTGTAAGGTACTGGATTGATTCAACTTTAGGTACAATAAAAGAACATTTCTTTATTATACATAAAACCGCTTTGTACAGCCTGTTCACTGAAGCCTATTTACATTCACAATAGGTAAATACATTAAAAAATATAGAAATGTTGGAAATCAGCTTATCCTGAAAGTAGAGCTGAACATTTTGTACAGACACTACAGAGAAGAAACAAACAGTAAAGTTTCTAAAGACTAAAGATTAAATGAGGAAACAAAGTGAACTTACAGTTTGTTCAGCACGAAGAATTTCCACTCCACACCTGACACTAAACACAGATAGACAGGTGAGCTGTTTAGCTTTTCAGTTTGAGTTTCACTTTAACCTGAAAGGAGCAGGACTTGAAGTGGGTGGGCGGGGCTCAGCAGGAGTAGCATTATACTACAAGCTGAAACTCATTTTACATCAGTAGAGCCGCAGACAGCCCACTTTGATCTTAAACATGCTGGACCAGTGAAACTCTCCTTTCTGTCAGTGTAAAGAAATCACATATTTATCTGTTTTTCTACATGATGAGGAAAAAAGCTGCTGTGATAGAGAAAGAAATCTGTCAGCACAACTCATTTTTAAATTGTAAGAAATGTGTAAAATTACCCAGACTCTCAACTTTTTTTAGCTGTAATTGTGAAAAAAATAAAATTTCTTTAGTAAAAATGAAAAGATAGAAACGTTTCTGCCATTTAATTGTTTATTGGCTAATTACTTTGTGTAGTATGAATGTCCATAAGGGAGGTTTTGTCAGTAGGAAAATGGCTGAAAACACCAACAGGTATCAATTTAGCCATTTCCTAAATTCTGCA